CCCGAATAGTTAAGAAAATGTACGAGCCGGATAGGGATCCTCGAAGCCTTTCCCTGTGCCTTCGCTGTTGTTGTGTTGCAGTAGCAACATCGGAAGATGTCATTTCTGAGCTAACAGCTCGTCATGGTCTTAGGTGCTGGATTGAGGTTCCAGTCTCAGAGGAGGCGTAGGTTGTGCGGAAGCATGGTCGGGATGAGCTGCGTTTAAGTTGATCGCAACCAAATGTCTTTGTTGCTCGCAAACTGATCTTTGATGTGGGACAGCACAGATCCTCCATCGGGCCAGTGTCCAGGCCATGTTTCCATGGTACAGTGGCATGGATTGCCCCCAGCATGATATCGGGAAAAGCAGGCTGCGCTGCTGCTTCATGTTCCAGGCAAGTTACGTTGTTCATCCTTTTCACTGAGAGCGAATAGAGATGGTTGTACCACTGCTGCTGTGAAATCAAATCCTGCATGAATTCTAATCGCAGTTATTTGCTGTTGTGGCGAAAAGGAGAGTAATTTCGATGTAAAGTTTTGTTAATTTTCTCTCATTTCCTTCATTTCTGCCCTGGAGAAGGGAACTGATGAGCTGCCTTCTCGATCCGCTGCAATCATTGCCGTGCAGGCACACCCGCATTGTTGATCAGAAGGGAAACCCAGCGCTTCGAGACTGTGATTGCTAATTGTCACTTTTCATGGGTCATTCTAATTCAGTTCTGTTTTTCCCTTATTTGAGCACTTTCCGGAAAGTGGCGTTGGACTAAACTCCCAGTATAATTGAAAGCGCAGTTTGGAATTGCCCCGCTGCCACTTGTGTGAGCAGCTCGTGACACAGACAAGTCGAGGTGTCCCACAGACAGCATTCATGCTTTCCTGTGTCTGCAACTGCATTCGCCTTGTCATTTTTGCTTTGGTTGCGCGTTAAGAGCTGTCTGTTTGGGGATTCGCTCGATACCTGAGGAGCTGACATGGTTACCTTCTTGCAGCCAAAATTCTCACTGAGAACTTGTCACGGAGAATGGTCATCGGGGTTAAAAGCAAAGTAGCCCTTTCGTCTCAGGGTGGTCTTAAACCACCAACTTTTCAGTTAATAGCCGAATGCGCTAACCGATTGCGCCACAGAGACAGGCTCCCACAGCCTACGCAAACAAATGATTAAACTGGGGGTTAGCAACTGTACCATCGTCAGAATGGACAGCACGTAAACAGATACTTCGGTGCACCTCGTCCATGCCGACCAGATATCCGAAATTAACTTAGCCCCATTTGCCAGCATTTGGCCCTTATCCCTCTGAAACCTTCCGATTCATGCAATCATCCAGATGCCTTTGAAATGTTGTCATTTCACCAGCCTCCACAACTTCCTCCGTCAGTTCATTCCACACACGCACCACTTTCTGCGTGAAAAATGCCTCTCAGCTCCCATTTTATTTTTCCCCTCTCACCTTAAATATATTCCCTGTAGTTTTGGACTGGCCCAGCCGGTGAAAAAAGACCTCGACCATTCACCCTGTTCATAGCCCTCATGACTTTATAAACTTCTCTAACTTCCCGACATTGCAGGGAAATTTTGCCAGGCCCATTCAGCTTCACCCTACAGTCAAAACCGCGCAACCCTGGCAAGAGCCTGATTGGCAGATTTCTACAGGCTGGAAACATCAAAGGCTCAGGGAACACTGTAGGAAAATGCTGAAAATGTGCACAGCAGTAATTAATCCAGTTTAGCACTCCGTACTTCAGTAATTTCCTCAAAAAAGTCAGGAACCACTTGGGAAAAGAATCATATAATCCCAGTTCACAGCCGATTTGCCAACCGATAAGGTATAATTGGAAATATTCAGTGTGTGTCGCTCCAGTGGCGTAGTTGGTTAGCCCGCAGTATATATATGACTGTGTAGAGGCGTGTGTAATGCCGAGGTTGTGAGTCCAAGTCTCTGCTGGCGCAATTTTAATTTGTCGTGGGATAAGACGCTGAGGAGCATAGTCAATTTTGAACAAAGTTTATGGGAAATTGCCAGGTTCTGAGGGTTTGGAAATGACTCAACGATCGACAAACGTCTTGGAAATGTTCGAAATGTCAAAAAATATTTGCGGAGAGAGAATAAAAGATGATTATTTTTCAGATCGCAAACATTTCTCATATAGCTATTCAAAATTGAATTAAGTTGCTGGAAAAAGCTGTTTAACTCGCTTCAATTCAATTTGATGCAAACTCCACAGGTCATTGAAACATTCAAAAAAGGAATTTGATTTATCTCATTGAAACGTGCGAATGTTACATTCAACTTTGGTCAGAATTTTTATCAGTTTAAAATAAAGAACTGCTGAGAGGAAGGGAGGGTTCAAAATGCAAAGAGACAGAGCCTTGTTTGTGGATTTCTTGGGTGGAGTTCGGAAAGTATGAAATGTTCCTTACATCATCGGAATGTGGTCGAATCATTAAGGCACCATTTTAAAGCGGGAATTGTGCCTCTGAGCGACGGTTTCCTTCCGACTCGAGAGGGTCGAACTTTACTTTTTAATTGAAAAAATGTTCAGTTTCATTTATAGTTCTTCACGGAGAATGAATTGCCGATCTTATTCAGCTGCACGTGTACAATAAATTTCTTTAGACGTGAAGTCAAAGAAATTCGAAACTATTCCCCAACCGCCCACAGACTTTGTCTCACTGTTAAGGTGCCTCCTTAGGGACCTCGGGGTGCAGGTACATAATTCTTTGAAGTTTACACCACATATGGACAGAGTAAACAGGCTTTTAGCACGCCTGCCTTCATTGCTCAATCGTTTCAATTTAGGAGTTGGGAAAGTCATATTCAGGTTGTACAGGATGTTGGTGAGTCCTCTTCTGGAATACTGTGTGCAGTTTCGGTCGCACAGTTTCAGGAGGCATATTATTAAGCTGGCAAGTGTTAAGAAGAGGTTTACCAGGATGTTGCCTGGTATGGAAGGTTTGATTTATAAAGAAGGGTTGGATAGACTTGGACTATTTTCGCTGGTGCTTCAGAGGTTGAGAGGCGACCTGATAGAAGTTTATAAAACAGTGAGACGTGGAAATAGTACTACTGGTAGTTGTCTTTTCCCTCAGATGGGAGACTTCAAGACGAAGGGACGGTTTTAAGTTGAGAGGGGATAAACTTAAAAAAAAGAGATCCGAGAGGCAAACTTTGGAATGACTGTGAATAAAATGATGGCAAGTCCTAGCAGAGAAACGGGTGGCAGAGAAACGGGTGACAGTAAAGCAGGCATATAAGAACGAACGTGTTTCGTTTGCCAGTGAAATTCACCGCTTCACAAAGTGGAGAACATTGAAGTGCAGCAGTGACGGCGATTATTTTGCTGGATATTCACCTTGCGAATGCTATTTCTGCCATTATCCTTGAATACATCACAAGTGGACAGGATGAAAGCTGCAGCAAGAGTGTGGAGCCAGTGGTGTAATTGATGCGGCGTCTGACTTTGGTTTGGAAGATTGAAATGTTGTATCCTCCCTCGCTCGAGTGAAGTTGACAGTTTTTCGACCTTTGCAAATTGACAGATGCTTCCGAAGAGGAATGTATGCCCAGCGCTGTTTTTGTCAGATTTCCAGCAGCTGAAGTGATTGGATCGCTGGGTTTTGGAAATTTAAAATTGAAATTGAAAGGTAAATGAGTAACATGAGTGTGGGGCTACTTCAGCTCACTGTCTATTTCATATCCCAGCTCATGGCAACAGTACCCATTGTCTGGAGAAACTGCTTGTGTTCCACATAAAGCTGCCTTTTGTCGGCGTACCTTGTGTACGTCGGGAGAAGCGGGTAGAACAGTGTGTGTATAATATCACAAAGACTGACACTGAGCCACACATTAAACGGTAAAGTTGATGTTGTTAACTTGCTCGCCCAGCTGGCTTGTTTTCGTTCAGACGTTTCGTCACCATTGCGAGGTAACATCATGAATGAGACTTCCGATGAAGCGATGTTGTTCTACTCCACTTTGAATTTATACTGCCCGGTCTGTTGCGGTGAGTTCTGTCATTTCCCGTTCTGTTCTGTATGGGTTGTATATGGGGTCCAATTCTATATGTTTGCTGATTGCATTATGGATTGAGAACAATGCCTCTAGGAATTCCCATGTGTGTCTATATTTGGCTTGGGCTAATACGGTTATGTTGTCCCAGTTAAACTGATGGCCTTCATTATCCGAGTGTACTGATATTAGGGAAAGTTCGTCGTGTCATTTTGCTGCTAATTGATGTTCATGTATTCTGATGGCTAGTTTCCTTCCTGTCTCTCTGATACAATGTTTGTGGCAGTCGTTGTACAGTATTTTGTAAACTATGTCGGTTCTGCATGTCGTGGGTATGTGGTCTTTAATCCTTGTGAGTGTTTGTCGTAGCATGGCTTTGGGCTTGTGTGCTGCCGTAATTCCTAGTGGTCATAGGAGTTGTCAGTTCTGATATGTTCTTGATGTATGGCAATGTAGCCAGTGTGTTAGGGCATAATGTGTCCTCTTTCTGTTGTTATTTAGTAGGCACCTGCGGATGAAATTGCAGGGATATCCGTTCAAAGCGAAGATTTTGTATTGGTGTTCTTCCTCTTTCTGTATAGTTCTGGATCGTTGCAATGAGTGGTGGCCTGTTTAAATAGTGGCCCGACACAGCTTAGTTTGTGGACCACTGACCTGAGTTAGTTGCCAAATTAAAAGTTTCCGAATCCCTCGAGGCACTGAACCGAGTTGTGACGTGCAAAGGACAACACACAAAGGAGAGTCCTTGTGTGATTGATCCAATGTGATCTGTATACCAGGGTAAACAGTGAAGACTGGTCTTCAGCACCCACGTTGAGCCTGGCTCCACTCGGCCGACAGTCAAATCTCACAAACTACCATTGCCCTTCACTTTTCCTGACCTCCCCTCTATTCTTGTTTTAAACCGATTACACGTCAGACAGTTGCAGCTGGCATTGCTGATGTGGAACTGGAACATGGAGTGAATCGATTTTGACTGGTCAATGACATAATTCTGCTTCTAAAGATCAGTCAATATTTCGTATTTATTCCTGTAAATGTTAACCATTAACAGGCTATGGCAGTGAAGGCACCGAATCGTAATCACTGGACGACCAGGAAAGATCTGTTTATGTGACTCAGGATACTCTGATTCGGCCTTGCATTCTCCCGTCCTTCTGCACGTGATGCCCCTCTGCTCTGTTTCGGTTTTATTACGTCTTGGTTCATGATACACAAGGTCTCCAATTATCTATTACTTTGTCGTTTCTAACACATGAGACCCTCTTCCCAAATTTGTTGGAGTGGCTCCATAGCTCAGTGGTTAGAGCACTGGTCTTGTACACGAGGAGTCGTTAGTTCGAGTCTCACTGGGGCCTGTGGCAAATTTTGCACACCCGCTGCTTCCAAGATCGACAGGTGCCCTTTCAATCTTAGCTGAAATTATGACAACATCATTTCCTCCACAGGCGAGAAATGTGTTTGAAATTCCACATTCCTGTTTGTCCGACCACGGACTTGAGGAAGAGCATTCGGAATGGCAGGAAGCAGCTGACGTGAGCGAAGTTTGACCGGAAGAGCGAGGTGAAGCCGGAAAACTGCAGAGTGACAGGTGAACAACGGAGGAGGGACACAAACCCGGGGCAGCCGCCGAATGCTTCCTTTTGTTGCTGTAAACAGGTTCTAGTTTTGAAGTCTGCAATGGGACAATAGAGCCAAGTGAGTGAAATTCTGCTTTCTGGGGGCTGCGCTCTCCTAAAGCCTCTGGCACTCTCGGTGGAAGGTGTCCTTGTTTGTTTCCTGCTATGAGTGAAAATGAGGTTCACTTCCCCGAGGGGGCATGAACACAGTTTTCCCACCTCAAACTTCAGTCTCATTGGTAGTGATGCGTGAGATTAAAATGTTACAGGGAAAATAACATTGAAATGAACACTTGAAACATGAGAGCACACAAGGCTAAAAGGCCAAGTGCTGGAAACTGGGATGTTCGGTCTCTTTCCATACTGTAAAAACTCAATGATGCGATCATTTTGCAGGAGCAACTTATTACCAGTGAAATAAAAGCCAGAAGCTGTGTTATTAAGAAATGATGCAAGTCTGCTTGTTCCCAGGTGGTCTAGTGGTAAAGGTACTGTAGTTTCAC